TCAAACCTCAGCTGAAGCTGAAGTTTACGTCCATATTTACATTGTCCCACAGACATCAGCATATATCTATCATTTTATATTGGTCTCAAATTTGTCATTACTAGATGAATACATTATAATCCATTTGTAATACTTATATACACTTGTCTGTTTTAGAATATGGTTCCCCTCACTTGTGTTTTGCTCCAAAAAAATATCTTGTTAGATTTCTCTGACACCACTGCAGCTTCCACACGCTGTATTACTAGGACTTCTGCCCTTTGAGTCAACTCTTGGGCACTTCTGCAGGTGTTGCTGAGCACAGCTGGCTCTCCTAACTCACAACCTGTCCTGAAACAGGTCACAGATGGTGCCTGTGAGCACCTGAACTGGCCTGCCTATCTGCAGCATGTGTGCAGCTCTCACAAGCCTTACCCATCCAAACAAGCAGACAAAACATTTCAGCATTGGTGTAGGACCCGCTTCTCGTTCCAGCTAGATCTACAGTTACACATTCTTTGACAATACCAAGTACTGCTTTAGCAGGAGCCTGTGAAGAGTGTGAATACAATTCTGAGGAGTGCTAATGCAAAATGTACATCTTTGGACAATTGTGTTGAACCTATCCAGGGCTGCTGGTTGTGCTTCTTCCATTCTTCCTGGAGAACCTCCTGGTCCCGACCGCATGGACCCGCTGACTGTACAGGACAACCTGGGATGCTCAGAGACCCACAGATATGTGGTCCTTGGACAGGGCTGTTGCACTAGTGTGGTCCCTATGTGCTGCCTGTACATACCAGAAACAACTGGCAGCTAAGGGGACTTTCTTTCTGAGTCTAAACATTGAGGATATTAGCCCTCTGTTTTCCAATATGAGCACTCCATGGCAGGAACCAACAGAACAGCTCATTTCCTCTGCAAAGGAAGGTCAGGTGAATGCTGTTTGAGTGGGCTTTCTTTCCCCATGTACATCAAGCTTGAAGAGCAGAACCTGCTCAGGAGACAGGCCAAGAATACTGGGCAATAACAAGCTGTCTGCTGAGTTTTCCTCATTCCCCTGCAGCAGCTCTGTGCCCTTCTGCTTGTGCTGCTTCTCCAAGTCAGCAACACTGCTTGTTTTTCACTTAAATGGCATTGGTTAAGATAATTTAAAAAATAACCACATGGCCATTTCTATACCACTAAAATAGAGAAAAGGAGGTTAAAAACCTTGGTCCAGACTATCTAGATGCCTACTTCTAGAGCTGGTTCACTTTCTATACCTGTATTTGTTTTGTTTTCTTCCCTTTAAAGAACATATCTTTCAGAAATTGTCCTTTTCCTATAGTTTCTGTTGAAAATCTAGCAGGTTTTTTTTTTTTTTTTTTTTTTTTAATTTGAAATTTATTTATTTTTACTTCTACCATGATCAAAATTATCTCAAGAAGACTGAGCATATGTTTTCTGTGGGTGAAAAACAGCATTTTGCTGGAAACCGTAATTCTCAGATTAAAATAGTTTAAATGGAAGACTCTGAAGGAAAACTATTAATAATATCTAACTTGTCTTACAACAAAACTGGACAGATAAGACCATACCACATCTCAGTGGGTGAGAATCCCATCTATGTCTGGTGTCAGCAGGAAATGTGTAGGGTCAGGGCACAGGCACAGTGGGTTCCCTGGATAATCCTTCCCTTGATGACCGCCAAGCCCTGGTAAACAGCAGGACAGCTGGAGTTTGCACCCAGGACATTATTAACAGCAGCAAACAGCTCTTACCATCTCTCCTCCCCCCCCCCCCCACCGAATTTATCTGACAGTTGGACATCCACTTAGGCTGTAACTCTCCACAGCAGTCAGTGGCAATGACTACTACAGTCTTCCCCTGAAGCAATTCATGTGTCAGAAACACTGATAATCTTCTAGAACTCTGCTATTCAATGAATGAAGCAGACGGCCAGTGTGAGATGCTGTGTTCATGGTGTCAGCTGTTTGCTCTAAGAGGTATTTTCCCATTTTCTTCAACAGCTGTGCCTGTGGCTGGTGGCATCAGGGCAGTGCACCCAAGCTTGTCATGATCCCAGGTATTCCCAGTATGCTTTCTGCTAGGCTTATTGCAGTTGACTGCTCATATTCATATGCTTAAGTGTAAGCCCTGGAGGCAGGCTAGTATGCAGGATGCAGATGTTGTGAGTGGGCAAGAAGTTGCCTCTCTTCCTAGCGCTAGCAGGAACAAGTAGACACCACGCACACTTTGGTCCTGACAGAGTTACAGCTGTGTGAGTAGTCTGGTTGCACCATCTTCAATTCCTACAGACTTCACCTGTCTTAAGACAGCCTATGCAAAGAAGGCTGAGAGCCATGATGATATGTATGATGACTATCCCCATCCCTACAGAGGAGCTCTCAAACTATGGAGGCTGAGGAACAGTGTGAAGGAAGACTCTGTCTTTGCCCTTGCTTTATCTCCCCTTGGAACAAAGGAGGGAACTCAATTAATAGCCTGGACTACCATTCCACATTACTGAAAAATAAATATATAACACAATGGCTGGTTATAATGATCCCCTGGTTATCCTGCCTGAGAAAACAGTGGTGCCATCCCCCACTTTGCAGAGAAAACACTTTCAGTCTGCAAAAGCAAAGAAAGAACTGCACACTGAAAGAAAATCCTGCTTTGTTTACAGGTTGTTTATTTACAAATATACTGAAGTGTTATCTTTTTTTCCCTCTTTTTTGTTTTTGTTTACTGTGTTTGTGTATGTGTGCATGTGCACAAAGGAAGAAGCATAATGAGAAATTCATGTATCTTAGCTGCCAGACAATGGTGGCAGGAAAAAAAAATCAGTGAAATGAAATTTAAAAACACTAATAAATAATTTAACAATGACAAGTAATTAAATAATAATAACCAAAAAAAAAAAAAAAAAAAAAAGACAATGATCTACATACATTATGGTGGTTTGTTACCAATGCAGAGGGAAAGGAGCAGGGAAACTACTGTGAGGAGAGGCAGATGGTTAATTATGAGAGAGCATATTCATATTTTTTTACAAGTTGAACAAACTGTAACAGACAGCTACAAAATACTACATTTTGATAACATAAATACAGAATATATAAATATACAAGTAATACAGCCATACACAGCTAAAAAATAAGGTGTTCACTTAAAAACAGAGTTCCCAATGTTAAATATCTGGCAGTCCCTTCACAGTCACTACTAAACAGAAGAATGGTGTGCAGAACCAAAAGGACCTTGGCTGTATCGTTTAGGAAGGCAAACTGTTTTCAGTTTATTCAGGTGGGCCTCAAATGAGCAAGACTGTGCTTAAATCCCACCAAAGTCTACAGGCTTTACATACCTGCCAAAAGTTAAGCAAGTGTGTAAGTAGTCACCTAGCAAGAGAGACCCAAAACCTGAAGCCCTAGCCACATCACCATGGGTGCAGATGTCAGCTGTCCAGTGCCACCAGCATGAGGAGGAATGAAGACATGCTAAAGATGAACCAGCACATGCAGGGTACATCTGCTCTCCGTGAATGCATGGCATGAATGGTTTGGGCATCAGATTGTGTAAAGCACCGCCCTGAGCATTTCAGACTTTGTGTACTGTGGCTCCAGCTTCCATGGCTTTGATGTGCTTTAATATGCTCGCTTTCCTTTCACTTTTATGACCAAACTTGGGGCTTGTGAGAGCCTTTCCCTCCCTCTTTCATTCTGCTGTTCATTTTTAGTGACTTTTTGGGACAGTCAGAATTATTATGACATGGTTTGAAGAAGGTGCTCTTGCAAACCCCAGCTTGCAGCATCCCTAGCACTATCATGGTGAGCTGGGTTCTCTGGGGAACATGGGAAGGTGGCTTGGGAGGTATTTCTGATCCCTAAAGAAACCAGAAGGGAGTCCTGAGCACAGTATGAAGAGGTAAGTGGGCTCACATCATCTCTGGAAGGTTTGCCAGCCTGAAGGCCCTTCCCCATGCAATGATGGCACAGTGAGGTGGCTAAGTTGCTGCTGATAGAGCAGCAGCGACCTCCTTAAAGGACTTGGTAACATTCATCAGGCTTGTGTAGGGTGAGTCTGAAGAATCTACTCAGCAGGCATCGTGAGACTAATGCGAGTCATGTCTTCAGCATGGTTAGCAGCGACTGGGTTAAGTGATCTGGATGTTTCTGATGACAGTGTTTAAAGAAGTAAGTAAGATCAAACTTCCTAGGATGCAGCTTCAATCTTAGTGAGTGCAACCACTATAATTTTACTTACAGCAACATAACTGTCTTTCATGTTGCGACTAAACACATTTACTGCCAGCCCCCTAACTGCTTAGAATATGGGGTTTATCCCATAGCGTTGTGAAAAATAGGGGGGGCTGAAAGGAGCAGTACATGGTAGGAATCATTCCCTTGACATTCAACCATGCAATGGAAATATGTTGCTGCCCAGCTGAGAGCCAGTTGGTGGGTTCAGTGACCACACTGCTCAGTAACCATTCATGAAGGCAGGAAAAACTCTGTGTGCTATCATTGCTTTTATGAACAGATCTTGTAATTGCACAATAAAGACCTCTGAGGAAGCTGTTACTTAGCGTATTCATTCTGATCTCACAGTAACCTTTTTTTAAACATTATTGAGCAAACATTGAAACCTAATCAATCATCTTTTACTTAATTGCATCTTGTCACCACTTTAGCTTAACATGTATTCCTTGCTTAGCCAAAACAATGATTGGAACACCATGAAGAGTTCACTTGATGCATTTATATTAGAAAAGGGTTAATTTCCTAGGGAAAATGATCACTGTAAGGTGCATGTAATAAACCGCTGTCATGACCTCTAACCTTCAAGCTCCCATATGTGCAATCATTGTTTGTGGTTTCCGTGGAAGTGCCAGATGCTAAGAATTTTTGGCAAGGGTTTATCAATTTGACTCAGTATAAGATATTACTGTGATATGGACCATTAAACATTTTACTTTCACCTGATTGGTGACATTTCCCTTGACAACAGAAGAGTAAAACAGAAATCAAAAAGGTCAGAGGTTGCTATATAATCTTTTACTGCAGGTCCCAGGTTAAAACCACAATGATCACACTCCAGTAGGATAATTCATTCCACAAAAAAGTGACATTTATTTTGCTTTAATGAACTTTGGCCTTTGCCAGATTTAATGGGTCTGCTGGAAATCACTGACCATGCATTCCTTCCCTTGACCAGCAGCAATCCACAGTGGCAAGGGAAGCATTATGCATGCCAGATGGCTTGACTGTGTAGTGCCTGTGGCACCAGAGGTGGTAGAATATGGGGGAACAAACAGCTAAGGCATCATCATACAACACACCAAGGGAAAAGGAGATGGTATGTACAGGTACATTGCAATGAAAGAAAAAGATAAGGTAGCAAACAACCATCTAAAGAACAGCAAAATATTATGGTTACTTCAGCTATCAAACGGGATATTGGATTCTTTACCTTGGAAATTGATTGTATTTTCAACAACCAGCCCAGAAGCAGAGGTAGAGTTGGGACAAGACAATTCTCCAAACTGTAGGACACATTATAGTTATCACTTAAGTCTCTGTATACAATAAATGCCATTTTGGTCCTTCCAGGAATGAGGGACAAAGCAAGATTTATGTCTAGTCTATAAACCCAGTACATTTGAGATGGTGAACGCACTTTTCCCTGACTCTGAAGGTGCACAGGAGGAGGATGGGCAGGAAAATATCATGAATTAATTGAGATTGGTGGTTATAAATGTTTATAATGAAAAGTGCTTGCCTTCTGCCCTGCAAGCAGTATAGCTCACCTGAGTTCTTTATGTTTGCTAACATGAAGAGAAAAAGGAAATTGTTATCTTGACACGCAAAGAAAGGGAAGAATGGCTGCAAAAAGAAAATTCTTCCCATTTCAAAACATATGCAGGGGCTCACAACCTTCAACTAAAAAAACACATCCCTACAAGAAAGTGAGAGAATGGTTACTAGCAAAAGTAACAGACCCCCCCCCCCCTCCCTGGGCATGGCAGACACATTGGAGAGATGAAATAGGCACCTACAGGAAGGGGAGCATCACCCTGCACAGGGTTGTTGGTTCCTTCACACATTAAGGGCCCTGTATAAGGCAGGTGGTTAGTTGGCCACTGCTCTACAGCAGGAGGGGTTTACCTCCAGGTCTGTGCTTAGCTCTGCTGCAGTGTATGCATGTAGTCTTCCCCCATAGTGCTTACCTCATCACAGTGTGGAGATGCATGGGCTTATCTCAAAGACAGAAATTTGCTTTCTTACTAAACCTCTTACGCTCTCAGTCTGCATCTTCATGTTGGAGAAGAACATGATCTTACCTGTTCCCTTGGACCTACCACCTACCCATGCCATCACTCCCTCCGGGGTGCAGGGCGAGCCCTGCTGCTTGAGCAAAGAGACACATGGCTGCCCAGCAGAACCAAGCTCTGTGGGCAGAGGAGCTCTGGGGCTGGGTGCAGTGGGCACTCCTTCCCTCCCCACATAGGAATTGCGCCCCTTGGCCAGGGTCAGAGTCCCAGGGAGTGTCTGCACTCCTGCAAATGGAATGCTCTGTGCCTTCCCAGGAGGCTGCTGCTCTGAGCTGCTGCCAGTCCTCATCCAAAGGAATCAGATTAACCAACACTTTGGCTTGGTTTTGGATATTATGGTCAATATAGTAAAGGTATTTATTTCAGAAAGGGCCTATCCTGCCAATCTTTCCCCATGAGCTCTATTTTGAACACACCCTATAATTACTGATATTACCCTGGCAAATTTTCCCCATGAAGTTTTCTCCACTAGGAACCATGACTGTACTTGTCTGCCTCTCCACATTATAATTATCACCAGGCAATATTTATAACTATGCTATTATTATTTATAACATTTTATGCCCTATGAAAACCTATATGACATATGCTCAAACTTAGCATCTGAGATGATCAAACTTCATCTGGGACATTTCCTTCAATTTATGCATTTCTTGTTCTTCCATTTGCACCCCTAAAAGGTTAATAGGAGTATTTACTGTAAATACAGTAAATCAGCATGAAACTTGCAGTATTTCTGTTTAGATTTCAGCTCAGTATATCTAAACCTCCCATTGTGACTTCTCTCCTACTTTTTTTTTTTCTTCTTCCTAGCTGGTGCACATTTCAGGACTTCTGATGGTTCAGGCTAGAACTGTATAACATAGATTCTTGCTGAAGCAAGATAATTAACTAAAGGAGTGCTTAATTGTTCCAGATGGACAATGGCAAATAGCACATTTATGCCTCATGCAAAACAGAAATAAACAGAACAGAATGAACAACATGTTTGCCAATCATAGCCTAGACTTGGAATTTGGCACTGGAATACTTAAAAACAAAAGTAAATGTTTTATTCTCACACTCCAAAAAAAAAAAAAAAAAAATAATAATAAATAAAACTCTGTCTTGTAAGCACCTTTAGTTTTAATTAATAAAGATCAATACTAATCTAAATGCCTCTGTCCCTAACATGCATCTCCTCTCCAGGGTCATAGACCTTTCTTATTACAAAATCACTGGCTTTCTCCATAAATATAACTGTTAACCAGTTTCCTCAGTATCATATGTATAAGGGCTATAAACTAATCAGCAGATCTAGATTATGTAAAAAAATGTAGAAAGGAAACAAATGTTGAACGTCACATTTACATTAACTTCTCACAGTTCAAATGGCAATTTATCCACAACATAGTATGAATCATGCAGTAAGAAAAGGGAGGAATCTCCAGTTTCTTTGATTTATTTTTCATGTGGTTGACTGATGTCAGTATCAGTGGCTTAAAAAAAAATAATTAAACATCCAAAAGAAAGGGAGAGAGAAAGGAGGAAAAGGTCTAGCTTTCTGCAAAATCCATTTCCTTTATATCGATGAGCTCAAAAAAAAAAAAAAAAAAAAAAAAAAAGGCTGGTGAAGAGCAGGGTCTTCTGTTCCTTCCACGCTTCTCTCTTGATCTGGTGCAAGTTGGGAATCAAGGGTATGGGACCAGTGGATGTGTTTTGTTTATATATGTATGTATGTAACTAGGTAGGTATTCATATATATATACATACATACATATATGCACACAGATACAGTCTTCCTAAAAATGCTCTTTGCAGTCCAGAGGCGGCAGGAGTCACTGTGAAGGAAGAGCTGGGCAACATATGGCTGTAGAGTCTGCACTGGAAAAAGTCACTGGCTAAACATACGCCGGCTGTTTGTTTTCTTTTATTTTCATGAGGCGAAATATGAGCTCTGCATAGAGTACAGCCTGTCAATGGGGTTTCCTACTCTAGCCTGCATGGAGTTAACTTCAGAAGAGGCAAGAAAACAGTCGCTCAAGCTAGTTAAAGAGGTATCACTGTCGATATCATGAAAAATTGAGTCGTTTCCTGTAAATGAAATGTATATGTTAAGCGGTATTCTGTGCAGTCAAAGAAGGACATAGTACACATGGATGCTCATATGTTGCACACTGCAGCAAAATGGAATGCTCCTGGTTTTGTTTTGGCATGTTAATATAAGTTGGCTCTAAGCATCTGACCTATAAAGAGAAAGGCTAGCAATCAACTTGCAAAGTTCAACTGTCAGCAATACCACTTAGAAGTGCAGAAAACTGCAGAAAACTACCAGTATCTAGTTTATGCCCCAGTCAACAGTACCAAAGCAAGTCCTGGCTGACAATGTAAGCAAACGGTGTCAGGGGAGAAGGTCCCTGGCGTTCCTTGAACTGGGATTCAGCACTTGTGGGGGCTCCATGGAGGAAAGGAGGACCAGACGCTGAGAGCCCAACAACAGGAAAAAGCAGCCTGAGGACCATAACCAGTAACGGTCTTCATTTACACACAAGGTAAAAGGCAGGTCGACAAACACGACGGGACCCAGGAGGAGGCCCAACTTCCCTGGCCTCAAATGAGCTACAGTTGTAAACATGCTTTCTTGTCAGAAAATTCCACTCGCTGGGGGCTGGTTTGGAACACAGCACCATTTATTTCCCTTAGCAACTAGAATTTCAGCTTACTTTGTATCTTAAGGTACCAGAAAGAGCTCTAGCTCAAGTAATGTGAGCTTTAGGAAAGTGTTACAATGGTTCTTTTTCCTTATGCCTTCATTTAAAATGGCTTTCTTTTAAATCTTGCATTGGTTTTGAAACACAGAACATGCTTCTAAATGAGTTTTGCTTAGAATTTGCCAAGCACATTGTTAGCAACAAAATCACAAGCCGTCTAATGCTCATTTGCACTTCAAATATCTTCAGCTCCTTACAGTATTTACCAAATTGCCTGGTGTCTACTGTGGACTTGCCTCAGTGGAAAAAAGTAATAACACAGACCCAAGCCAGATTTCTTGTTGGCTTGTGTGCAATTCATGCTCATGAAAGTGATGTGCACATGTAACTCTGCAAAGAAGTGCTCCTGGTCAATACAAATGAGTCTGATGTAACAGGCCCTTGTGGGCAATAGCAAGGCCAATAATCACAGTCCGAGAAAACCTCTTAAGTTTTGTTTAAATGCCACATTGCAATTGTCCAGGACCAATTATTAGGCATTTAATGCTCGTGATGCATTTGGCGTACCTATTCACTTGATGTTGTATGGGCAGGAAATTATCAAATCAAAACATCATCTTGAGTTTGGACAGAGAATGTAAGTATGCAGGAGAAATGTCCTGTGGTGATATACCTCTCAGTAGCTCAAGAATTGCTCTTTAACAAATCCAGGCGTCCAATCTGAGGGATCTGAGAGGGGTGGTCATTTATTCTGGAATAAATAGATTACTTATCCTTAGCAGACAACTTTTCAAAGCATTACTTTCCCAGAGCCTCTAGGAAGGGGAAAAACTTGTGAGGGAGATACAATTTGTCTCTTTTTATTTTTAGATGTCTTGGATAGTGATTTAAAAAAAATGGGGCTGGAGAGGTGCTGATGCTTGTTTTTATCATTTATCAAAACTATACTCTGAAGTAGTTTTGAAGGGTGTCCAGAGCCTGGGATAAGCTCTCTTCTACCCACTTACGTGTACATGAAAACATACACACAAAACTGACTGGTACAAACTCCCTGGTACAAATCCCAGAAAAAAAAAATATTATAAAAGCAAGTAACTCTGTTGAACCTTTGGAGTATGAACCTGCATATGAACCCTGCTATTTCTGATGCAGCAGAATGATGCGTGCCTTACCATAAGGATTCATGTGGTCGCCTGGCATTTGTGGAGGGGTAAGACCCTGCTGAAATGGGTCTGTGCCATAACTGCTTTGATCCATTGCTACAATCTGCTGCTGTGGCGGTGCAAGTGGTGTGTAAGATGTCATCATCCCTTCCATTCGATTAGACATTACTTCTGCAGAAGACACAGGAGGGCACAGTCACTGCTTAGCAACAGAGGCTGCAGACAGTAGTATTGGTGGCATTACTGAACATGAGATCAGAAGGAATACAGCTAGGTGCTATTCAGAGGAGCATTCCCAATCTTGTCTGAGAGTACAACCCTCAACAGTAAATTGAAAGACTTGTATTCTCTGACTACATAATTATGGAGCTCCTGGGTGCTTGACCATAACTTCCCAAAGTCTCCTGTGTCTGGCATAGCCCTTATAACATCTAATGCCTGTTGATGCCAGCCTAATACTGCTAATGCAGCAACGGTACAATGATTCCCTAAGCTGGAGTGGATATCATGTTGAGCAATCAGTAAGTGCTTCCTTGACAGCATGCAGAACAGCCCCATGTGCTGCTCACAGACCATGATCCTGAACATCAGGACAGTTTTGATGTTCTGTGTAAAGAAGAGGATATGAGGTTGCAAGGCCTTGAGATGCTGCTCCTTAGCAGCATCCATGAAGCAGCAGGACAAGCCCTAGCACCTCTGTGCAAGTCCTGCCAAATGATCTGGGACACAGCAGGGCATCAGCAATGTTGATGCCCTTGCAGGCAGTCTGCAGATGCCCAGCCATTCATGGTTCCCTTTTTTCATGAGAAAATAAAGCTAACTGTGGGATCTCCCTGGAGTGGGCCTCCTGGAGATTTCCTCCAGTGAAAGCTCCTCTGTACTGCATATTTATTTTAGGAAGGTGGTAACAGCTTCGGTGTAAGCACTTCCAGGGTCTAGCCCCATGAAAGGACTTTGGGATAACCCGTGGCAAGCACTTGGACACAGCTGCTGTGTGTGCTTCCACAGATGATGGCGCACATTACCTACAGAGCTGTGAATGCCATGTATGGCTGTTCCAAGACATTATGCACCCATGTGGGAATGGCACTTTGAGAAATCTTGAAGATTCGTTTCCCCTTGCTTTACCTCCATCTCAAATCCCCTACCTTGCCCTAGTCGCTGGGAGTTTTGTTGCTCCTGCTGCTGCTGATGCCTTCGTGCTAGCTTTTTCATCTGAATAAAAGAGGAAGAACAGAACAATTTCATGGGTCTGAATGAAATATTTTTTTCCTTTCAAAATTCTTTGCAAATATCAAGTCAATAAATACAGAACACTTATATTCATGCATACATCACTGTGGTTTCAGTTTATTTTCTAAGCTTAAACATTTCAGTTTCTACTTCGTATTTTCATGCAAAATTTACTCCCAACCTTGTATTGCTTTGAGGACAAGAACTTAATGTTTGTGTTTGAAAGTGGCCCTTCTCTTATGGATGTAGAAAGCAGAGAATGAAAAACGTATATAGTTTAGTCCCTAGGATCTTTGTGATATGTACAACAACTCAGGGAGGAGAAAGGAATCTCTGTTGCAGGACAATTTGCATTCTACATTTCAAAACATGACAAACAACCTACCTTTGCTCTTTGGTTTTGAAACCAGACCTGGACAACTCGCACACTGAGTCCTGTTTCAGCTGCTAGTGTTTCTCTGACCTAAAGGAAGAAAAGTTTAATGATATAATTTTTTTCAAATTATTATTTTTATTATTATTTTATATCTAGTAAGTTATGTTAAGAGGAAGACGTTTGTATTTACAATAAAAATTTCAGGTACAGAATTAATTTTTTAAAATCCCTCATATTTTTGCAGTTTGTGCAAGTTCTGCCCTTCATACCACTACCAATTTCGTAAGTACTAAACAAATGCTCTGAGCTATGTAAAATTATATTAACTCATTTCATGATTTTTGTCTTACCCATAAATGAGTTCTGTATAAAAATTAGAAATTTAGTATGAACACTTTTCATATTTTTTAAGCAGAACTTGATACTTTAAAATGGCAACGAGGCACATTGCACTGTCCCAAGAGACATACTTTGTACATCTGCAAGAGGAAGTTACTTTTTCCAACAATGACAATTTTGGGGATCCGACTCCATTTTTTCCCAATCAAATTTCGGAGGAAATGTTACCTAGGTGGCTTTTCACCGAGATTTCATTTTCATCAGCTTCATCATACCTTTCCCTAGCTGCTATAACTGAGATTAACACCATGATTAATTTTCATAAAAAAACAGGACTGGAAGGACAAGTAGTGGGACTAGGATTCTGCACCCATCTTGCTGGACAGTGACTCCCTCTGTGGTGGAAAGAAGGGCACAAAGACCCTTGTTTACCCAGGCTCTGGCTGTCCATGACTACTACATGTTTTACAAGAAGCAAACAGCATTGCTCCACAGGAATCGGTCTCAGTTACATTCTGAGTACCCAGAAATAACATTATGCTGATCCCAAGCTACTAACTGCTTAAGGATAAGAAGGAATTTGGGTGAGTACTGCCATATGCTGGCCCGGTTTTCTACATTTACCACAGATACCTGATGCTGGCCTGGGAAGGGGCAGGGGCCTATGTGGACCTGTGGCCTAACCCTGTCACCATCACGGCCTGGTGTCAGAACTTACTGGTGGTCCCTGATGATGCACCTACCTTCCTACAGGGCTTGGAAGACACTTCAAAGGATGCTTTGAATGCTCGTCTCTGTTGTGTAGTAAGTATTGTCCTTGGTCGTTTAGGTCTCCTTGGGTCTTTCCCATCGTCACTTCCTTTTCCTTGGGTTACTTGTCCTTTGGTGGGTTTAACATCTCCATCTTCATCATCACTTTTAACTGGTGAGAAGAAAAAAAAAAAAAAAAAGAATATAGAACCGTGCTTGTTCCACCAAGATAACAACATGTATGAGAACTACTCTTCAGCTGCAAACTTGTCAGCAGGTTCAACTATTATCCTATGTTTATTTGAAGAATTAAATTTACTTAAATTCTCTTAAATGCGGGTACACTGCCTAAATCAAATTTCACAAAAGCAGAAGAATGAGCTTAAGTTTAAATTAAGGGCATGGGACTAATCAGGGGGTGGAAACTCAGAATGTGCTTCAGGAACCGGGCACTGATAGACTTGGTGCCCTTCCAGCATCTCCCGGTCTGATCTACGCTCACCTGCTGACACTGTTGCAACCACACCAACTAGCTTTCCAACACTTTCCCTTCACAGAATAGCTGCATCTTCTCCTAGAGCACTAGTTTCAGAGAGGTGCTAGGGAAGCAAAACAGTGTAAACGCAAATATTCCCAAAATATCTTAAGGTCTGTTTCATTAAATATAGCATAGATTCCAGTTATTGTTTTGAATATTTTGAAGCTCTGGAGGTAATATTAAATATATTCTTTGCCCTCTCATTTCTGCATCCCATGGAAAACAACAGTATCCTTTCTCTGGGTATTACAATGTGTCTACATGTACATGCACAAATTTATCTTGCTTGGCAAATACAAATAAATATAGATGTGCTTGTGTAGAATAAATAGATTATTTGTATTTTCTGTAGTTAGATTCTAAATATTCTTATGATCTGGTGATATGATGTGTGTTAGTGTATTGTACTGGGAAATTTCAATCTCAGTGGTAAAGTTTGAAGAGTAAGTATGAATTCTAATATGAAAAACTTTTCAACGTGGTATATTTTATTTTACCAGACTACTGTTTTTTTGTGTGTGTGTTTTTTTTGTTGTTTTTTTTTTGTGTTTTTTTGTGTGTGTTTTTTTTTTTTTTGTTTGTTTGTTTGTTTTTTCTTCCAGAAAACATTATTACACTATTCTAGGGACTTCAGCCTTAAGAAACATGCTGCAATTTTGATATACTCAAAGATGATGTTTGGGGAATTAACAAATTAGACTTTAATTCATTTTAAGGTCTGATTATTATGTACCTAGCAATCTAATCACCTTTTACTTTAATAAGCATCTTTTTCCTAATGATTAAAGAGAAGTTCAGTCATTTTAATAACCATGACATTATTAACTTTTGAGCATGCCATTTCTAAGGAAAGGTTTGTGAGGATTAATATTGCTCATTGGAGGGTTACTTTTGTGTCCAATGGATAAATATTTGATTGGGGAAGGACACATACTCAGCCAGGGGTATGTGAGATCATTTGCTCTCACACAGGCTTTTGTGAGATCTATGTTTTCAGTGTATTAGACAATGGGAGATGAAACATCCCATTTAATTTGTTAACTTGTTTTTCAGGTCTGGGCTTGGCTAACAGAGAATAATGGTGAAAAAGCATCTCCAGGAGTAAGAAACTAACCCCTTGTGCCAAGGGAAAATGAAGTTGAAACCAAATTTATTTTGTACTGCTTTGGCATCTTACTGCCCATCTAATCATGAAACACAAAATCTAGTAGTAAAGGACTATCTGTGCCAGATGTAGTCCTCAGAGGCAGCTGGCAAACAGCAAACAACAGTCCCAGCATGGCACACTCACACTTGCTGACAAGAACAGCAGAGGAGGAGCAGGATTACCACACTCATCACTGCAGGACTGGGTACAGCCTTGCTCACTGATCTTCTCGAAGGGGTTTGTCTGGATACAGACAGTCTTCAGCAGGTTGCTGAAGCTGGTGATGGTAAAACACACTAAAAGGCAAGTAGGAAACTCACACACCTCAGGCAGATTCACAGAGTACAAACCTTGTGACATGAGATTTAGAAAGGCTCTGATCCTGCACATCCTGCTGAATCAGCAGTGACCTTTGTCTTACAGCATTCATGACACAAAAATATAAATTTGAGCAACGTGGTGAATATGGCTCTCAGATTAGAGACTAAATATAATTACTATTCCTAGTGAATTTGGAATAATGTATTTTCCCAAACTACAGGGAAACATTTGTGTTATTTGTACGCTTAATGAATTGGTAATTGTTGATTTTCTTAGACATTTTCTTGGGAAACAAATGAGCAATTACGATGACTGGCAGCAGTCTGCATACACACTGTCTCTAGTCTTGAACTCAGCCAGAGCACACTGCAATGCAAAGTTTCCAGTCTTCGTGAGTATACACAGCACAGGAAGGAGGAATCCTGTCTCTCCTGGAAATGCTTGAGCTTCACACCCAGTCCTCACTGTAACAGCAGCCAGATACACTGGATTTTGGACTGGAGAACCCACATCCAGAACGTGAAGTGTTTATCCTGTGCACTACTGTGCTCTCAGCCCCAGATAGACAGCAAGTATCTTTTCTCACCCTTTCAAAACTTCCCCTAGGAAGTGGGTGGAGGACAGGAAGTATTCATTTCTCCCTCGCTGCAGAGAACTTGGGGAAAACACCCATCAGCTGCTGTCAGTTGTGAGGACTCTGCTTCCCTCTTTAGGAAAAGGTGAAAGTTCTTTTTGCACAGTATGGTGCCTCAGTCCCCAGGCCAGGTGGTGCAGGCTTGTTGTAATCATACTGTTCAAACCCTAGGTCCCCATTAAGGGAGAGGTTACTTCACACTGTAGACTAGCAGCAGTGCATTTTAGTGAGGTATTGAACCTGTCATCCCTGGGACCTGGACAGTTTGAACCCCTTTAGTTTGCACTCATCAGGAACAGTGTAGGACCTGTAGGAGACATCCTTGACAATCCATAACAGGCAAGCTCTGCATGCCTCACTTCTCTACCATGTGTAGCACACAAACCACAGAGCAGCTATCCTGTGTCAGTATGTAGACTGCCTCCTAGGTTTACACAAGAACGAAGCTCAAACACAAAATAACATGTACAACACAAATGATCAGAAAGCATGGAAGAGACATGCTACCAGAAAGAAGTCTGGGTGGAGATAGGGAGAGTCAAATATTGTACTTGAAATCATTCAGAGATGGTCTCCAAGTTACTGCATTTTTTTTATTTTGTGTGTGTGTGAGTCTTCTTGCCTGCCTTAACAGGAATTGATATGCAGACATCCTCTCCGTGTGCAGCCACAGTGGCTTCGTCTGCACCACTCATGCTATTGCTGGAACAAACCCATTTATCTCTCTCCTCTCTCTCTCTCTCTTTTTTTTTTTTTTTTTTTTTTTTTTTTTTTTCCAGATTCTTTTCAGTATGTGTATGTGGTACTTGTCATTTCCCTTAAAGTTAGTGCCTGTGATTTGAAGAGAGAAATATATTTTGGAATACTCTGAAAAATCATGTTTTCTACTTTTCCCATTTTTGTAGCTTATTGTTGAAAGTATATGTGCAGAAGATTCCCTGAAATCAGAGCAAATTTTAGGTGGAGGAAAGTATGCCTACACTTTAAACAAGGTCTCAGATATTTGAAGTCAGTCTGATTCACATACTACAGTCTCATAGAAAAACACAATCTTGACCAAAAATAAATAAATAAACAAATAAATTAAATAAACTTTTGTCCTTTACTAAGAGAGCAGCAAATTAAGTTAAGGAGAACAGGCTAGGGCTTTACAACTGTGCCTGCTAAGAGATGTCATTTGCATGGGTGGCATCTGCATATAGAGAAAGTAGATGTGTAAATGCATATACTTCTCTGTAAAAATGCTCTACAAACCTTTGTGTTTTTTTCCATCTGGGGCAGAAGTGGGAAAGCTCACCTGAGTCTGAGTCGTCTGGGCTGACAGAGCTCAACAGGTCTTTCTCTTTTTCATAGTCACTTTTGCAGAGCAACTGCCCTTCCTTCAGAACAAATTCATCCCCTTTCCTCAGCTGTCGTTCACAAACGCAGCAGCAGAAGCAGCTTAAGTGGTAAACACACTCCAGGGCTCTCATCACAAATTCTGTTGGGGCAATCTTTTCCATGCAGCCACTGCACTTGGCAGCAAACAGCCTGTAAGAAAGGCAGTAAAGTCAAAGAGAATGTCAGATCATACACTGCATGAATTTAAATACAACAAATTCTTCAACTTAACTACAGATCAGCTTGCCTAATACTTTTGTACACTGGGAAACTTGCATCCTTAGTCTTGGAAACACTGTAAGCATGCATTTTATTCAAGTGTCAGTCACTTTGGATTGGAGATTTGTCTCACTGTTTTGTTCCTCTTCAAGATAAGAAAAATTAAGGTGCTCTCAGAGTTTGGATAACTTTCTTCAAAACCAAATTTACTTTAATTTACTTTTTGGAAGAAGGCAAACAAAACAAAACAAAAAGCTGATCTCCATTGTTTGTTTGTTTTGTTGTTGTTTTGTTTTGTTTTTTTTTATATATATATATATATATATATACACACAGGAGTTCTGATATCAGCACTTTAACCTATTCTGAATAGATTTCATGACTTGCCCTTTCTGGTATCGTCTGTCTCTGAGGAGGTCAACAGATGAACACAGAAAAAAGCATGGAAGCTTATTGCTAATGCTGAGCAGAAGATGACACACACATGCAATCACACACATGCAATTGATAAAGAGAGGAGTGAAATAACATGGCTTTTCTTTGGATGTTGAGTTATTCCAGACCAACCTGTCTCCAAAGAGAATACTGTGCATTTTAAATGGTGTGAAACATCCTTTGGCAGAGACAGGCAGCGATACAATCTGCTAAATTACCACTATAATCACAGGCTCTGGAATATACGCTATATTCCAGACTAGTTCTTATTAAACCTTTATTAACCCCCTCTTTCATCCATCATTAATTTTCTAAGATAAAGTTTGAATGATTTAGATTAATTTTATTTTGCTTTTCTAATAGCAACTGGGAATCTCCCTAAGTGAGCTTTTCGGAAGAGGGCTGCTTCAAATAAAGATGAATAGCTAAGTTATGTCCCTGTATCACATAGTGGCTTTGGTAATTTGAAATTCAGTGTCTCTTATGGCAATACATCAAAGTGCAAGGTGCATTAATATTTACATTTTTTAAAATAAAATTAACACAACTGCACCAATGCGTTCACAGGAAAAAGGAGATTCTACCTTTTAGGATGAGGTATGCTGCTTTCTTTTTCATCCTCAAAATTATCACTTTTTTTTTTCTTTTTTTTTTCTTTTTTTTTTAATAAAAGGCAAATATCATCAATTTTAGAAGGCAGTCTGTGGTAGCTACTGAGTTCTCCAAAGCTTCCATTTTGTCTGCACTGAGAAAATACAGCAAAATGGCAACCACTAGCTTTTCAGAAAAGCGTAGCATCGCAAAATGGGCAAGAGGGAAAAGAAAATGTAAATACATTTGCATACTGCATTCAAAGAAAGGTGGAATGCCCAAGACATTGTGTATTTTTTACATTTGTATCTTTTGATCTGATTAAAGAGATCTACTCTATTAACCTTGCTGGTTTGGTGTATATCTTTGCACAATCACAGCTACAACATGACAGATATGCATTGCACAAGTCATACAAGGAATACTTAGCAACTCCTTTTTGGGTACATAATGAATTAAATCTATTAAAGGAAAATTGATGCCGTGCAGGACCCACAGCCACTGCTGGTATATAGGCCATTTAATTTCCTGCAGTCTATTGGATTTGCCTATACGTTTGGGTTTTTTTGCTCTCACATACAAACTTTAAAAGAGGAAAATATGATTTTATGTTCTAACTAGTAAGCATCACAAAAATATTACAATGTCTTAGCTAGCAAATTCCTATGCAGGAAGTATTTCTATTTATGCATAATAACATATCTGAAAGGATTAAAATACAATGGGAAAAAAAGAGCAAACAGATTTTAAGCACTTAAAAAAAGTTGTTTCTATTTAACTGCTTAAACCTATTTGACTCAGTTTAATTAAGCTTGTATCTTTTGTTTGAAGACTGTTGTGATGATGGAGCACACTTAAAGAATCTGAAGATTAGCAAATCTGGTGTGAAGGCATCCGGCTCCCCTAACTGGCATCAGTTCATTTATACTAGGGTGACAGTTAACCTGTGTACGCTTCAGTAAAATTCAATGGATGGCTATCAGGAGGGATGGGACAGACCCTACATGTGGTAACAGCTCTGATGGGCTGCAGATGTAACAGCCTGACTGAGAAATCTGCTGCCATTTCTGTTTCTACAGTTTCCAGGTTCCTGACTTCATTTGCATTTCAAATCAGTGCTCTTGGTATGAGAAATCTTAGAAAGAAACTTCAGAAAGTGACCGTGATCCTGCACTGTGATCTGTCTAAAACTCTTTGTGATACTGCTGTGATAATGATGATAAAACTCCAGCACTGTGGTCATGCTATTAATAAAAATAATGCTGAGTGATCAGTGTACTTCATACGGAGGCTTTCCACAGAAAGAGTTAATGTAGGATGTCTGCTCCACCAAGCTCCTTTGTAGGCAGACCACAGAAGCCAGACTCTGACAGATACTGAAAGCATAAGGACTTTTTTCTCTTTGAAAGAATAAACTAGCAGAGATGCTGGTTCCAAGAGATCACGCAGTAAGTCTTTCTGGGCCAAACCATCCGTACTGCAAATCTGCTGGACCAGCAGGCAGCCCTGTGTGGGTGGCAGCCATGGGACTGCGCCCCAACACAAGGTGAGCCCAGGTAGAAAGCAGCTAGCAGACAGAAACCTTCCTGCTTTGCCACCTGAGTGCAGGAGAAAGGGCAGCTTCCCTTGGAAAGGCTGCGGGAGCCAGGGCACAGAAGGCCTGCTACAGCTCTTTTGCAGAGGGGACAGCACGTGAGTAGTTCAGGGCCTCTGAAGCTGGGGTTGGACGAATATTGCAATAAATGTTGTATTGCAATAGTTAAGACAGCAACAGCCTTCAGTTTTCTCCCAAGCAAACTGCAAAATCTGCCACCATCCAATTAAAGTCAAAACATAAACGTAATATGTTTAGAAATAATTTTAAGTAGGAAAGCATACACTGCCCCTTCACCTTTCTTCTAAGTGGAACATAGAAACATTCTTTCTTCTTATCCTTGTGCTATGGTGTCTGTTGTTTACCTCAGTAGTGTCTTCTATGTTATATTGCTTTATGAAGTGCTTTTTTCTCTTTTTTTCCTCAAAGTAAAAGATGGCCAACACAAATAGAGTATAGTTCATGTTATTTATTGGCAATTGACTATTGCCAGAAAGGTGGTGGTTCCACAGTAATGTTTCCAAATGCAGTCTTTTAGTTATAAAGAATTACATCGTTGTCAATGTAGTATTAAATCATTCTAATTAACAGTTATATTTGTCTGACAATACTACATGAACTTCATATCTCTAAATTGTCCTTTGTCAACATAATAAAATATCATAATCTGTACTCAGATACTGTCTGCATTATAACATGCAGTCACAGATATTGAACTGTGGTGGATTTAATTCTATGATTATAAAATTTTCATTAAATTTATCTTATAAAGTGTTTATTGGTATTTTTTCAGCTTCCAGAAAGTAATCCAGGGTTATGCACTTTTTTTTTTTTTTTTTTTTTTTTTTTTTTTGCACAAGGCAGTCTCACAACAGGAAACTAATCTTGACAAATGACCAGTCTTTGATATCTGTGACCTAAAACACTGCTCATTAGACTGTTCATTTTATAAACGAATGGTAATAAACCTGTTGAGAAGTGTAGGATAGCAGGAATACTTTACAGATCACCCTTTGCAGCTTTTAATCAAAGCAATACATTTGATGGGGAGCATGCAGATATTATGCGCTGAGGCAAAGACTGTCTTACTTAACCATATTTAAAGAAATATTTCTTTTACTTTCTATACTTTTTTTACAAATAATTTGCATAACTCTGGCTTTTTACCACCACCCCCCCCCCGGCTGATTATCTCCAGCTCTCTTAAGTTAACGTCAAACCTCAAAATCCTTGGACTTGTTAAAGTATGTGGAGAGTGGAAATCAAATGCCTTTATTAGAAGCCCCAGGAAATCTCTGACTCCTAAGCACAACGAAAACATTCCAAAGAAAATTGTTCAAAGAGGACAAAAGAGAAAAGCAGAACAAGAAAACCTTGTTTTGAATCAATGATTGCAAGAGTTTTATAAATAAATTCTGTTGCCTGGACAATTTTGAAAGACAACTCAATAAGTTTAGGAGTTTTTAAGTGTGTTTGTCTCTATGCCTGAAATACTTAGGGGATTCAGCTGAGCTAAAGCCTGGAACAATGGCCTGTTTGTCCATTCAAGTATTTGAAACAATCACTGTGAAGCAAATTCACAGTACTAGATATCAAAAAATATTCACTATTTTAAACTGGGTGAACTTACCAAATTAATTTTGCATATATTTTAGGGGCAATGAAAACAGTAAGACATGTGGTCCTGTCTTTAAACAGTAGATGAAAATGTTCACTAGCGGAAGAGGCCATAAAGATTTTATTTGGTAGAATATCCCTGTGAAGTCAGGATGAATCAGTAATCCTTAGGAACAACCACAGTTACATGATCCGTTGTGCCTTCCTGCATGGGCACAACCATCTGGTGTTTAGTATGTACTACTGATTTATTATCTCTTGCGTAGCTATCTTGCTGTAAGTTTGACCCTGCTACTGCTCCTGAAAATCACTGTTCTGCTGTTTACTCTTATAACATCCGAATATCCCACCCTTTACCTTTCTATTGCTCACACAGGTCCTTCATTTCCTCCTGTTTGTTGGCAAATACATTTTAATTGTTTTATTATAACTAATTTAATCTGCGCTGAGTGATCTCAATGTACAATATGAAATTTGCTGTTCATATTAAGTGTGGTTCAAGAGGTTTGTTATATAGAACAGAGGTATAAAAATAGACTAATTCAGTCAGGTTGTTTATTTACTGGACTTCTGCCATGAAGCAGTAAACAGGAAGTTATTAAGTCAAATTTGATATATGTGAGAGGACAGATGCTGCCATCTAACTGAAATGTTAAATCATTTTCCTTTGCATTATTCTGATATTATGTGTTGC